GTATATTTTGGCATAATGTTATCTTCTGTATAAATAAGAGATCTACATTTTTTTCTTTTTTTTTTTTTTAATGGGTGAAAATGGATTGGTAACCCCGCCCGCGCTATCGGTATACACCGACGAGGCACCAGTGGAAGATGATAGGTGAGAATGAATGCAGGTTAGTTGGCCCACCATGATGAATTCGACAAGAATTAAACATGTTGGCTTCCAGGGGGACCGCGTGGAGGTCATCCTGAGAGGGTATATTGCCAGTAATGGGGCTATTAGACCCCATTACTAACAATCCCTTTCCTCCAAGAGATCTACATTATCACATCAGCTTTTAATTGTCCGGTGTTGAACAGAGGATTCCCCCATAAGGGGGGTTTTACCAGTAGTTACCCCTCTTGGCAGAGGGGATGGTAATAGTAGGTAGGTTTTCGTGATGTTTTAAGAGGTACGCTAGACCATTATGTTCCACCATGTGATACCCACGGGAAAATAAGGGTGGCCAATTCTATGTCAGGACCACACGGCATTAGTGTTAGTATTTTTATTCAATCTTTTACATACTTAGATATCTACATTAATTATTATTAATTGATTCATCATCATCATCATCATCATCATCATATCAGCCGTTATCTATCCACCGTTGAGTATAGACCTATCCCATAGACTGTCATAAGGAGCAGTTCTGAGCTACCTTCGTTCACTGATTCCCTGCAATGCATTTTAGGTCGTCACTCCATCTAGTAGGGGGGGCTCGTCCTACATTACGTTTGCCCGTACGCGGTTATCTCAAGAACCTTTTTTCCTCATCGATTGTCGGTTCTTCGAGCTATGTGACCAGTCCATTACCACTTCAGCTTTCTTATCCTTTGGGTTATGTCGGTTATTTTGTTTCTTTTGCGGATATCCTCGTTTCGGATTCCATCAAGCAGAGACTCCGAACATAGCTCTATATAGTTTATATACTATATAGTAACAAAAACAATATATAGCAGATTATAGTCTTTTTTACAACACGGGGCAAACGAGCATGCGGCTCACCTGATGGTAAGTGACTACCGCCGCCCATGATCACCCACGACACCAACGGCATTGCAGATGTGCTGCCGGCATTTTAAAAAGGAATAGGTATGCTCTTTTCTTGAAGGTTATGTTGTCATTTCGGTAGTTAAATAATTATAAACTACAGAATATATTAAATAACTATATAATACTAATAACAATTACGATATGAATAGATACACACCAATACTTAAATAATGAATAATAATAATAGTAAGAAAATACGTAGCTATCGTGATACAATTTCAATGACTGGATAGTATTGTAACAGAAAAAAAAGGTCGTCCTCCTCTCTCGTACTTGCTGTGCCCAACAGGGTTCATAATTGAAATTTTATCTACTAATTTATTTATTTATTTATTCATTAGTACAAATATGTGTACATGGCGGACTTAATGCTAAAAGCATTCTCTCCCAGTCAACCATAGGGAAGTGTCAGAATACTCGAATGCGGTACTACTAATTATTGATATACATACATAATAAAATTACATATATAAACGAATAAATATATATAAATAACAAATATACTTACACATATGTGACATATACTATATTATACACGAAATTGAGAATAATATAAAGTACTTACTGCTCGGATAAAAATAAAAAGTGTGCGTTAACACTTTTTTTGAAAGATGGTTTAGTCGGTAGTCTCTTAATGGCATCAGAAATTATATAATGGAATGCAATAAGAAATAAATAAATAAATAAATAAAAATATATGTAAATAAAGTGCAAGTGTTTTCTAACTCAGAAAGGTTTAATTCAAACTTTATCAAGTACCAATAATTTCCTACTTCAACAGTACTTAATCGAATATTTATTCGAACGCATAATAAATAAAGATTATGTTATGCCTTATTTCTTGTTGATGTAATAAATTAATCGTATTTTATGTTAATATATTTAACGAATTGGAAAATCCGCCATTAATGTGACATAACTATGTATAATTTTATATTTTAATTCACGTTCGATTATATAAGTTAATATAATCTGTGATCGAGTATCTGTATGATTGGTTCCATATACATTTGATAGGTAACCGTTATGGAATAATTATATACGTATAGTGAACGATTTCTATCTTTTAGCTAAGTATATCGTTCTATGACTTTAATAGCTTGTGCAGGCGAGGGAAATTTCTCTTTACGTTTGTCTCGTAAATGTGCAGGGTTTTTTTTATTTATATACATAAAAATCGACCAGTGTGTATAATCGAATCATTTCAGAACTAGCCATGGGTAACACGAATACCGATCCGATATCTGTATATTTTTGTTTTGGTGGATGAAAATGGTATGGTAACCGCGCCTGCGCTAACGGGATACGCTGGCGGAGCACCAGTGAAGGGTGATAGATGAGAATGAAAACAGGCCAGTTAGCCTATCATGATGAATTCATCAGGAATTAACCATGATAGTTTCCAGGGGGACCATAAGGAGGTCGACCTGGTTGGGTATATTGCTTGCAATGGGATTTTTAGTCTCCATTACTAACAATCCCTTTCCTAAGCAAACGACTTTTGTACAAAGTCTTCCACTTGTAAATTTAATTAATTATATATAAAAAAGTAACCTTTTCCACTTGTATAACTGCCAACTGACACAAAATAATTGTATAAATGTAATATACTCGTAGGTGACGGGAGTCTACTCGGATTAATATGATATGTAATCGGTGTCTACTATCACCGGAGTGTTAGTTGAAATTAACACACGAAGTTTTTGGTGTTGGCTAGTGAACTCACGATTTTTGGAGTTCAAAAATTGGATTTTTATAGATGTTGTTTCTTTTTAAATTTTGGTCAAGAGTTCGAATGTTTTGTGGTCAAGACTAGAGTTAAACCAGAGGGAGACTTTGTATAAAAGTCGATTGTTTGGGCACCTCTGTCCCATTCGTGTTTCAACCGTGAAGCAGTTGTTTGCATGGTTGTGTTTCAGTTTGAAGGGTGGGATATGGCAAGTGAATTTACAGGCTACAGAAGAATAACACCTGAGTCCTCAGGAATGGCAACGTACGGGGCGTATCATGGGTGAAACTGTATATTCTGTTATGTCTATGGCGCTGCTCATGTCTATAGGCGACGGTTACCACTTTCCATCAGGTGGACCAGGTCAGCTTGTTTGCCATTCTAAGTTGCATAAAAAAATAAGTTTACAGAGGAAATAGAGTGAGATATTTATAATCATGTTTTATGTTACAATGATTAAGGTAAGGAACAAAAGCGATTTAATACGACATTGACAATGCTGTACTTCTGTTGCTGAAAAAAGTGAGGCGGTGTTTTTGTTAATTAAAAAAGTACAGTATGGTATTGTGATTAGCCAGCATAATATTTTCATGCTCATGCCTTTTTTTTTCCACGTGGCCTTCAATAATTGACCATTACGTTTTTACTAAGAAGCAGTATATTTTTTTATCTTACCAAATATTTGTTACATTTCATTACTGAAAGCGAAGTGTTAATCTATACTTATAATAAATCTGTAGAGAGGTTAATTCTGTATATGAAATATATTTACAAAATAACTATCAGGCGGTGATTAGTGATCGATACTGATGTCAAAAATGCAATCAGTAAAATTTTTGTCTGTCTGTATGTTCGTTATAGAAACGAAAACTACTCGACGTATTTTAACGAAACTTGGTACAATTATTCTTCATACTCCTGTGCAGGTAGTAGTATACTTTTCATCACGCTACGATCAATAGGAGCAGAGCAGTGAAGGGAAATGTTGGGAATTTTTTAAAAAGTGGCCGTTAAGGTCGCGTGTGCAGCCTTAATGGCCACTTTTTAAAATGTAAAAATGTCCACCCGTGCGAAGCCGGGACGGACCGCTAGTGTTTAATAATACTAATTGTTCAATGTTTTTTTACTATTCTATTTTCCATTTAGAATGCAGAATTTCAGCTGAGAAGAACGGGCAAGAACACGGCAGAAGCTGGCAAGAAACTCAACTGTTGCCTTCTTCTATAAATATTTAAAATTAAACTATAGAACCGACTTTGATAAAATTTTATGTTTTTAAATGTTAAAGCGTATGCTTTCCTGAGTGATCGTATTGGAAGACTGTAAGGCTCGCCCAGTGGTTAGCAGTAAGTTGAAAGTAAACGTTATAATATATACCTTACAGGGGGGAAAGAGATTGTTAGTAATGGAGACTGAGAATCCCATTGCTAGCAATATACCCAACCAGGTCGACATCGTCGCGGTTCCCCCTGGAAACTATCATGATTAATTCCTGATGAATTCATCATGATGGGCTAACTGGCCTGTTTTCATTCTCATCTATCACCCTTCACTGGTGCTCCGCCAGCGTATCCCGTTAGCGCAGGCGGGGTTATCATACCATTTTCACTCATAAAAAAAATATATATATATATATACCTTACATCCAACTACTTATATCTTTCATCAAGATACCATTGGTATAAAAAGGTTACTATATAATGTAGCATGAGATAATATAGCATGATCTGTATATATGTAAAAGCGTTATAACGTTTACTTCCAACTTACTGCTAATGATATTTACAATGTAAGGGTAGCAAGTAGCGTATAGATACATTTTTGTATAGTTTTCTATTTTATGGCATGCACATTTCCGTTTGTAAACTGGTATTTTTTTTTAATGGGTTTTAATGGTATGGTAACCCCGCCTGCGCTATCGGGACACACACGGAGCACTAGTGAAGAATGATAGGTGAGGATGAAGCAGGTCAGGTGGCCCATCGTGACGAATTCAACAAGAATTGTTCATGATGGTTTCCACGGGGAACCACATGGAGGTCGACCTAATAGGGTATATTACTAGCTGTAGGGCTGTCAAACTCCATTGCTAACAATCCCTTTCCCCCTGTAAATTGGTATTGTAATTTGTAATAAATAAATTATTATTAAACCTTGCCCCTTATCTAAGAGTTTTTTTTTGTTTCAGGCAATGCCATTTTCCTAAATGCTAAGAGCCAATTACACTTCACGAACGGAACAACACGCCCAATGGTAAATATGCGGTTTATTCAATTCCATCGCTTTTTAAGATTGTTTTGCTTTTTGTCTAAGAATAGCGAATAGACGGTAGAATAAAAAAAATAACTATTCAAAAATTATAAGTTACAATTTTTTGATTTAGATTTTTTATTCAGTAAGCTATTTTTAGCGAGTTTCTTCACCTCTTGATACGACACGACACCAACTCCTTCCTTGATCTGCCTGATGTAACTATGTCTCTGTCTCCCTCTCCCCCTCCTTCCTTCTACTTTACCTTCTATTATAATGTTCATAAGTTTGTCGTGTCGTATCAAGTGTCCCAACATTTTCTTTCTTTTGACCTCAACTTTATAATTAGTCTCTTTTCCTAAGTAAGACCTCCTCGTTACTAATTCGATCTTTCCGTTCAGTTTCGTTCAGTTTAATTTACTTATTGTAAGTATCCTTAACCCATAACTTAGGGGGAAAGGGATTGTTAGTAATGGAGACTAAGAATCCCATTGCTAGCAATATACCCAACCAGGTCGACCTCCACGCGGTTCCCCCTGGAAACTATCATGGTTAATTCCTGATGAATTCGTCACGATGGGCTAACTGGCCTGTTTTCATTCTCATCCATCACCCTTTACTGGTGCTCCGTCAGCGTATCCCGTTAGCACAGGCGGGGTTACCATACCATTTTCACCCATAAAAAAAAACCCATAATTTAAGACTTACGAAATTGTTATATTTCGAAGATAGAAAGTATTAATATAAAAGATCTGGGTTACATAAAATTACCGACATAACTTATTTAAAGCGTTACTTACAAATGATTTGAAATAAATTAAACTATATTGGTAAACCCAAGTTAATTTATGGAAACCGACACAAGAGTCTGTTTGATTAGATCTGGTAATAGTTTGTAAGGCGACCTCAAAATGCCCATTGATTTCGTAAAATTTGTAATGTTTACAGAGGTCTTACCTGACTTGAAGAAGTGTTTACCTTTGTCCTTACGAATGGTAACATATGAAGGGTATCATGGGCGACACAGTATACTCTGTTACGTCCACGATACTGTTCATGTCAATAGACTACGATTCCGTACGCTTTAATCAGGTGGGCAGTCTGCTTGTTTGCCATTCTAAATTACATAAAAAAAAAAAACATATCCATAGACCGTGTGCTAACCAAAAGAGGAGTCAAGATATGATACTAGTTAATTCTCGCGGCTTAGCTCGTGTGAATCAGTGTACGAATTATTCTGTTTTGATTTACGATATAATAAGTATTATATTATTCTAAATTTCGTGTATAATATAGTATATGTCATATATGTGTAAGTATATTTGTTATTTATATATATTTATTCGTTTATATATGTAATTTTAGTATGTATGTATATCAATAATTACTAGTACCGCACTCTAGTATTCTGACACGTTACTATGGTTGATTGGGAGAGAATGCTTTTAGCATTAAGTCCGCCATGTACACTTATATGTACTAATGAATAAATAAATATAACATACGTATAAAATTTTTGAAAATTGTCATCTAATAAAAATCTAAATCTGCTTAAACAGCTACTATCTTTAATTTTACAAGGTACTCAGTCGTAACACCTTAATCCTCAGGAATGGCAACGCATGAAGGATATCATAGGCGATACAGTTTACTCTGTTATGTTCACGGTACTGTTTATGTCTATAGGCGACGATTACCAATTTTACATCTGTAAACACACTTTGACAGCCCCATTGCTAGCAATATACCTTATTAGGTCGACCTTCACGTGGTTCCCCCTGGAAACCACCGTGACCAATTCTTGTCGAATTCGTCACGATGGGCTAACTGACCTGCTTCATCCTCACCTATCATCCTTCACTGGTGCCCCGCCGGTGTATACCGATAGCGCGGGTGGGGTTACCATTCCATTATCATCCATTAAAAAAAAAGTGTGTATGGCATTATGCATTTATTACACTCGCCTGAGAGTCTTGTCACCTTACTGAAGGTCGTGTTTCTTAATAGTAAAGTGCTTTTCTATAACTGTTTTGATTAGTACGGTTATAATTTTATAATTGCTACTCTTGCGCTTGATTGGACAATTGCCAAATAACACTTAGAGCGTATCTCCGACTCACCGAAAGGTGTACCGGTACTTGCCTTAAAAATTTTTTTTTTAAGTTTTAAAAACCTTGCATTTTCGGTACGGGCGATATCGAAATGAGTGATGGTTTTTTTTCCGCCATCAATGTTTAGAGGAACATAAGATATAGATATTGGAGCAATACCAATGTTATTTAAATATATACCTTTTGCACTATTATTATTGTTCAGGGGCCGCCTGAAAATCAACGCTGTATAGGTACATCTCGCTGGAGGTGTGCATATATATATAGCAACTATAGCAAGCGACTATAGCAAGAGCTGAGGCGGCTCCAGCAACCAGCAAAATGAATTGATTTTTTTCTCTTTTCATTATTGTATATTGTTACCGGTAATTACTGTTATTATAGTTATTGGTAATAAAGAATCTATCTTTTTTTATATACAATTTAGAATGGCAAACAAGCTGACGGCCCACCTGATGGAAAGTGGTAACCGTCGCCTATAGACATGAGCAGTACCATGGACATAACAGAGTATACAGTTTCGCCCATGATACCCTCCATGCGTTGCCATTCCTGAGGACTCAGGTGTTATTCCTCTGTACTCTGTAAATTCACGCTATCTATCTATCTAATATCAGTAAAGTTAAACCGATCTTAGAAACAGTAGCTTCAACAACTCTATTTTGTTTATGTAATAATTGTCTATGGGAGTAAACTGTTATTTCATAGCTATGGGTTGTTATAGTAATTGCCTTAACACACCGAAGCTTAATATCCCAAATTCTTTGTAGCTTCTTAATTTCAAGCGATACAATCACAATTCACCAACACGTGATAGTGTTTCTTGTTCGAGAAACCTGTTATTTAATTCGTTTGATCTTTACGTCATAGACTATTGAAAGATTAATTTTATTTTTAAATTCGTGTGTTGAAAGAATCAAGTCGTAAGGTTATGTTTTGGTCACGTTGGGTGTTACTTTTTGGGAGGGTTGAAAGGAGGGATTGCTAGTAATATATCCTGTCGGATCGACCATCACGTGGTTTCACCCTAGAAATAATTCTTTATTCTTTATTGTACACAAAAGGTTATTGAAATGTAAAACAAACATAATAGTGTACAAAGGCTCGTTTATCTCCAATAGAGATTTCTTCCAGCAAACCCAATATGAGAAAACTGACAGTTTATTAGTAGTTACAGTCATACATGTGTACCAATCGACTTAAATGTTATAGTTAAAAATAAATAAATAAAAATATATATAAGTAATATATATATATATATATATATATATATATATATATATATATATATATATATATATATACACAAATATAATAAGTACGTACATCAGCATTGTGAGAGGTAATAATTCTTCAGACGCGATTTGAGAATCCCAATGCTTGGGCTATTTCTAATTTCATCGTGTTGAATTCCAAGTATATTCATCATGATGGGCTAACTGACCTGCTGTCATCCTCACCTATCATCTTTCACTGGTGTCTTACCAGCGTATACCAATAGTGTAGACAGGGTTACCATTCCATTATCATCCATTAAAAAAAACCTATGAATTTCAGACAATACACGTACGAAGTCCTCAACGAATGTCTTATGCATCAACACTTCTGTGAACTAAAGTTTAATGCCTTTTATATTGCTAGCAAATGGGTCATTAGTACCCTACGTGCATTTATTGCTATTTACATTACAAATTACATCCTACACAGATATCTCTGGTTTGAACTAATAACATGCTATCCGCGGTACGACGGTGCATGCAGTTCGTTAAACCACCACGGCTTAATGCGAGATTATTAAACAAGACTGAAACTAGCTTTTTACTTGCTACTTCACAATATCTACATATATATTTTAATTACAGTATATAGATATTGGCTCAATAAAGAATATAGTAAATGTTATCCAATATTCAATTTTGAAATAAAGAATTCAAACGATATTAATATAAATATCCGACCGGTATGGATAGATAGATAGTTTTTTTTTTATACAACTTAGAATAGCAAACAAACTGACGGCCCACCTGATGGAAAGTGGTCACCGTCGCCTATAGACATGAGCAGTACCATGGACATAACAGAGTATACTGTTTTGCCTATGATATCCCCCATGCGTTGCCATTCCTGAGGACTCAGGTGTTATTCCTTTTTACCCAGTAAATTCACGCCATATCCCACCCTTCAAACCGAAACACAGCCATGCAAACACAACTGCTTCACGGTTCAAAACACGAATGGGACAGAGGTACCCAAGCAATCGACTTTTGTACAAAGTCTCCCTCTGTTAAATAAATAGAATAAAATAGATAATTTATTTCCATTACTTACAGCACATAAATAATAATACAAACATACACATAATACAGATATATACAGTAAAAAAAAAAACAAAAAAAAACAACAAAAATAAAATAAAAAGCAAAATATATAAAACAATAATTTCCTTCTTATAGGTAATGTTGAAATGGGTAATGACCTTTTTCCGCTATCAGTGTGTAAAGGAATCTAATGTATAGAAATCAGGATACTCATGCCTAGTATACAGGTGACCGTCACAACCATCAGGTGGGCTGTCAGCTTGTTTGCCATTCTAATAATAAAAACTTTGTTCAACAAAAAAAGATTGCTGCTAAATAAAAAATTGTGCAATAAAAAAAAAAAGAATAATTATACAAAATAAAAGTCAATGAAGCAATAACGTTTGACAGAGGCCTTCACGTGCGTTGTAAACATCTCTTGCAGGGGTGTGCAACCTGTTGATAGCATTATTTTTTTATGTCTGTAGAAACCAGAGATCAGAGGGAGACTTTGTACAAAAGTCGATTGCTTGGGAACATCTGTCCCATTCGTGTTTCAACCGTGAAGCAGTTGTGTTTGCATGACTGTGTTTCG